ACTTTCATTTAGGTCCTTTTATCCTCCCACTTTTAATTTTGTACTAATCATCATACATAATTCAGAAAATTTATGCACAGGAGGAAGTCTTTACCCATATTTTGTCTCCATTATTCTCTCTTCCTGATGATCTAAGATTCTTTAACATTTTCTTTCTTTTGGAGATTTTTTTTTTTTTTGGTACCAGGAACTGAATTCATGACCTAATGCCTGCCAGGCAGGAACCTTACCCTGCTGAGCTAAATCCTCGGCTTTTTAGAGAATTTAAGTCATTCTTTAAGAATAGATCTTCCTTAAGCCGTGGTTTAAGAGTAGATCTGCTAGATAATAATTCTTTCAGATTTATCTGAGAATTAATTTCCCTTTAATTCCTGAAATACAGTTTAGCCAGATACTGAGTTTGCAGCTGACATTTCTTTTCCTTCAGCGCTTGAAAATTATGTCCATCTTCTTCTGGCCTCTGTTGCTTCAGATGAGAACTATACTGTTGGACTGGGGACTTAGCTTAGGGCTGAGCATTTAGCTCAGCAGGCATATGTCCTTGCCTTGCAAGTGCGTGATCAAGAGTTTGATCCCTGGTACCAATAAAAAAAAAAAAAAAAAAAAAAAGGAACTGTACTGTCATTTGAATTATTTTATCCGTATAGGTATTGGTTTGAATTATTTTATCCCTATAGATATTGTATTATTTCTCTCTGGCTGCTTTCAGGCTGTTTTGATTTTAGTTCTTAGAATTTTGATTACATTGTGTTTGACATATATTTCTTTGGGTTTTTCCTAATCTAATTCATCCAGTTTTTGAGTTTAAGTTTATATCTTTTGCAGAATTTCAGGGAATTTCACCTATTAATTTTTGAGTGCTCTTTGTATTTTATATTTTTTCTCAACCTCATCTAGGACCCCAAAGTTACAAGTGTCCCGTAGGTTTCTGAGACTCTACTCATTTTCAGTTTATTTTTTCTTTATTGTCAGACTCAATTAATTCTACTGCTCTATCCTCAACTTTCTTCTGTTCTCTTTCATTTCTGCTGCATTGTTTAGCTCATCCCATTAGTATTAATTTCATTATTTCTCAGTTCTAGGACTCTATTTGTTTTTAAAACAACATTAAGATTTTCTATGTTTTCACTTGCTTCAAGATTTTTTTGGTAATTACTTGAATCTTTTAAAAGATTTGTATCATGTCAGTGTAGGAATCAAATGATAATCTTTCTCATTCAAGTTGTGATTTTATTGGTTCTTTTTATGACAGGTAATTTTATTGTATTAGATATTTCTATTTTGGATTCTATTTAAATCTTGTATTTTAATCGGTAGTCACCACTCTTAGGTTTAGCAAGGTCCTACATTACTTTTATGACTAGGTTACTAGTTTTCTGAGGTGTTATGGTTCTATTTTGGTCTGCATGGTTTCTCTCCTTCCTGTGAGGCACCCACAGTCCTTGCTGAAGGAGCTGAAATGGACTAAAAGTACTTCCTGGGCTTGGTGCCTACTGAGGCAGAATCTCCTTCCGGGGTGGCCACTATTAAGTGAAGTCTCTGGGAGGAAGAGAGTAGCCTCAAGCTCCTGAGAAACAAAAGCAGTTCTTCTGGCCCATTGTTGTTAGGACAGCTTTCACGTAACACCTCTTGCTACTTCTGTGGGCAGGATCCTTGGCCAAACTGAAGGAAGAACGAGCCTATTCACTTGCTGATGGATGGAGGTAGTGAAGTTATAAAAATGAGAATTGCGACTATATTGTTCTTTTGGTCCTGAGGACCCCAATCAATTGACCTTCCCTTTCTAATTTTTAAGTTCTCTTTTTATGGTCTCATGTTATTGCCAAGAATTTTGGTCATGCTTAGCAGGGAGGCACAGGGAGAGATAAGTCTATGCCTTCTTGCCTAGAATGAAGTTCTTTATGTCTACTCATATAAGCATAAAATCTTTTAGATGGTACCTGAAGAGTTAACAGTATTTCTCTGAAGTTACTGGGGGTATAAGAGGTAAGAGAGATTTTTTTGGTATACCTCTTTATATGCTCTAATTTTAGTAAAGTAAATATAAAAATAAAATGTAAAACAGAAAACCTTATAATTCCCAGAAGACAACCAAAGATAACAGAGGTTAAGCAGCTTATGGATTCAACAGTTGGTAATTTTATTAAATTTCAGTGTTTTAATTTCACTATGTTGTCACTGCTGTGATCCAGATCCTTGAATATAGAAGTAATATTCTCAGTGGATTTGAAGCTTGCTCATACATTTTGAATAACTTGCAGAATATAAATGTGCAATTTAGATAGAAGTAGATGCTTTTGGCAGCATACTAGTATCCTAATCAGTTGAAAAATAATGTTTATATGACATTAAAACAAAATTAATAGCAAGACACTGATTACATGAAATGACTTTGTTGTAATTATTAAACTCGCAAACAACTCAGCATAATTGATGACTTAATTAGGACATGACCTGAAATTTTAGGTTAAAAAAATTAATAAAGACAATTAAAATCACATTTGTAAAGTGAAGCAAGTTTTTTAAGAATCACAAGGTAGTGGATATAATTTTTTTCTCCTTGTTTGAGTAGCATTTTTAGAGGTATTAAGCTTACAATGTACTCACTTCCATTCTCATGACAAAGCCCTAACGTAATAGCTCGGCCTAAAGCCTCAAGAAAACAGTGGAATCACCTTCAGACAAAGACAGCCACCAACAGGCACCTGGGCCTCTCCTAGTAGACTTCCTTCTTGATAATTCTAAGGCAAAATGACACAAAAATGTTCTCTTTTCTTAAGTAAAATATAAACTAGAAGATCAATATTAGAACTTACCATTTTTACACAACTCTTTGGATCCAAATGACTGTTTATGCTATTGGCATTTATCCTTCAATACAAGCTCCTGTTTGCTTCTTTTTGTCTTCTTGAAGAAAGGGTTTTACTATTTGGTTCAGGCTGATCTTGAACTGATTTTGTAATCCAGACTGGTCTCAAAATTTCAGTGATCCTCCTGCCTCAGCCTCCAAGTGATGGAGTTACAGGTTTGTGCCACCATGCCTGGCCAATTCAAGCTTTTTGAAAGCATTTCAAGTTTCAGAGTTTCCCACATGGTGAAACTCAGTACAAGGCCAAAGAATTTTCCATTGCATAATAGATAACAATGGATAACAGTAAATATTGTGGGCTAGTGATATGCAAAAATAACTTCATTTTTTAGATTAAAACAAAACTCCAGATGAGCCAAAGATTTAGCATAAAGCCAAAATTATAAATGTATTAGATAGAAATTAACATTTTATGAATTATAATTGGGAGATATGTTTTAACTGTGACAGGCAAAGCAGGAGTTATAAAGGAAATGACTAACAAATTTGTCTGTTAAAATTTTTAATTTATATACATTTAAAAACTGATAAATTAAAAAAACTCAAAATGAAATCAAGAAGTAACATTAAAATTATATTTTGATTTAACTTTTTCCTATTAGGGCATAGCTTTGTTCTTTAATAAGCAAGTAATTGGAAATAGGCATCATGATTTATGCATAAGAATATTAAGTATAGGAAAAAACTAAAAGAACTTGTATGCTAAATGGTGGCTTATAAAATAATGAAATAAATTAGACAAAAACCAAAGGCTGCAAACATTAAAAATTATATTACGATCAAAATATTTTCATTATCAGATTTATTAAAAATATATTTGGAGAACATAGGTGAATTCAGTTTAAATTTCAAATATCTTCTCTAAAAAAGATGAAGGAGATAAAATATCAGAAGCAATTATTTCTAGGGTAGAATTATGAATAAATGTTGCTGTTTTCATAATTTGTAAGTTTTGTCCAATAAATTATAAATATATTCTTAGAAAATTAAACTTTTTTTTAATGTAGCTTACTTAGTATTAAATTAGATATGAAATGTAGCTTACTTAGTTTTAAATCAGAAAATATCAAACTTAAGGACTTAAATAGTATAGTTTACAAGATAGTAATAATGATAAATCTTCTTTATCAAGGACAGAATGAAGGGGAGGAAATATCCCTCTACCATATTTAGAAATGTATCACATAGGTTAAATTACAGCTATTGATGGTACTTGATTATCTCTCTGTGTCTCTCTCTCTTCCTTCCTGTTTTCTCTCTCCCTCCCGCTCCCTTCTTCCCTCCCCCCCCCCGTTTTTTTTTCCCTCTGTTTAACCTAGAACACTGGCTATCCTTTCCTAAGATTTGGTATAATTATAGATAACTACATTAGGTGAAATATTGTAGGCTGTCAGACAGGGTTGGGCTTACATTACAATTATGGCTAGAGATGCATCTGTTGGAAGACAAGCCTCAAAATACAGACAGAATGACCAGGCCTACATACCTTCCAGAGAGATTAACAACAAATTAACATTAATAGCAGTTGCCCCAGGGGGTGGCTAGTCTGGTTAGTCTCCTCCTGAAAAGGTCCTTGTTCTGTCTGTGTATTCTTGCTCCCTGACTTGCTTGCTATTGGATCAATATTACTTAAACAACTAAACATGTCACCATGTTGGTTGATCAGAGTTTTGTCCCACCTCATGACTTTGTATCTACTCATGATTTTGCTCTATAAAACTTGCTCTGTATGTGCAAGAAACACATGTGCCAGCATGTGGCAACCCACTTAGAACCCCACCTATCTCTGAGGAGGTATTTCTACTACTCAGTAAATTTTCTTACTCTTAACTTCTATTGTTCTTCAGAATTCATTCTTTGATTTTGGGAAATGTGAACTCAGCATATCTGATATCTGGCAGGTTGGGAGATACATTTATTTCCTCTCCATCAGTATCACCAGATAATTCTTTTATAAAATCATTACTGTTTACTCTGAATTGCTTATGTTGCAGAGCAAGGAACATGGGGACCAAAATAAGTTGACTTGATCTTAGCAAGAAGCTTATGTCTTTAACTAGAGCTACTTGCCATTCACAAAATAACCACCTCTAGTAGCATAGGAAATATCACTAGTGAAGCTCATCAGTACCTGTAGGTTTTCTTAATCTCTTCATTTGATGCTCCCTTATGAAGACCAAGAATTTCATATAGAGTTTCTCCAGTCGTTGACATAGATCGCTGTCTTTCTTTAGGTAGATTACGTGCCATTTTCTCAAGCTGAAAAACCAAGGGGAAAAATAGTCATAAAAGTTATGCACTCTAAATTCCTCTCTCTAAAGGGGCAAGATGGTTCATTTTTAAACTTTCGTAAAATGACGATATGAAGTATATTTGTGCGCTGCTGCAAAATGAAGGGAGAAAACTGTTAAGAGAGCCAAAACTTCCAATTGGGGTCAAATGAGACTGACAGACACACCCAAATGAAATACGGCTTCATCCACAAACTGAAGACAATGCTACTTAAACACATGGCTGATTCAGAAGTGTTAAGAATTGATCCTTAAAACTTAGGCAAATTTAAGTTTTTCATTTTACTTTGGGTCAAATTTGTGTAACTTCTTTTTGTATATTTTCCAAATTTATCCAGCAATTTTATTCCACCTCTATTGAGCTGGCCAGTGAGGACGAGTTAAAATAACCCCCCCCCCTACCTTTTTTTTTTTTAAGTATCAATAGAACATTCCTGATCTCTTCTGGGACTTAGGTTAGAGCTTCTCTGCAGGTATCAAGTCCCAGAACTGCCTACCTCTAGAGCCTACCTTACTCCTGCAGTCTATTCAGAAAAGGTTAGGTGATTGGCCTGTTTGCCTGCTGTGTATGGCTTTTGAACCCTCAAAGACAAAAGCACACTTTGGGGGCATCCTTTATCTACAATTTAGTATTAGTATCTTCACCTAAGCGTAGGAATAATACCGCTCTACCCTAAGACTATCTTAGAGTTTTAGAAATAAGGCATGTAATATATGCAGGACATAGCAAGCTCAAAGAAAAAAGGCAACTATTTTTATACCAGACAGCATAGGGTGCCATTCAGAGAGTGTACTGTAGTCAAGAAGACTACAGATGTCAAAAGACATAAACTTTCAGTTGGATAGGAAGAGTTCTTGTAAAGCATGGTGGCTATAGTTAATCATCATGCATTTTAGTCCTTATAAGTCCTAAGAAAGTAGATTTTAGCTGTTGTCACCATAAAAAGGTTAATATGTGTGATAATGGATGTGCTAAGCTCAATTTAGCCATTCTATAATGTATCTATATCAAAATATACTGCATATTATAAATATATACAATTTGTCAATTTAAATAATTAAATTCCATCAACATGATAATTCAGAGTCCTTGAAATTAGATGTTATCTAGGCATTTTAACAAGTACCTTTTGAGTCATTTTGACCAGAAGTAATTATAGTAGATAATTTTCCTACTAGCTAGCTAGTTCTCCTTTATCTGAGTACATAGGTCTTCATGGCAACATAGGCCTTTTTTTTCAGTACTAGAAATCAAACCCAAGACTCATACTGAGGTACATTCCCAGCCCTTCTGAAATTTTATTTTGAGTGCTTAGACCTGGACATGCATAGGAAAACAAATTCAGAGGCAAATGTGGCTGAGCCACTTAAGCACTATTGAGAAGAAAAAGAGTCTAAAGATTTGTCCACTGGGTAAACATCTCTATGCAAGAGAAACTTATCTGGCAATTTCATCTTGATGTTCTTAAGCATTTGATCCATGGGAATCCATGTTTATCAAGCCACTGTGTAATTTTGACTTAACTTGTATGTAGCTGTCCACTGAGGAAAAGAATAGACTGATTCTCTGCTCTCGCACTGGCCCAATGACAATAACATCTCTCGGTGAGTGAGTCAACTGGCAGTCAGATGATTTGCTGCTTCCTGAGCTCTGCCCACAAGGAGGGCATAAAGCCATAGATTGATGGAAATGATCTGATCCCCAGGATAACTGTTTCCCTTCATAAAAAATACAAATGGAGTATACAAACACAAAATATATAAACTAAACATGGCGTAAGACATCTGGCCTTCAGCAATGCCTGCTCTGAGTGCTGCCCAAATCAGCTGCTCAAGCCTATCACGCTAGGGACCAAACATTCTTTTCCTGTTTTAATCATGATAAATTTATAATATGATGATTAATGCCACCTTATGAAGGATCTTAGAAAACTACTATCTGGTAACCTACCAGGGGTAAAAGCACATTGCTGTCTCATTTTACAGATGAGGAAACTGACTCTAATGCAAGTAAACTAACTTTCTCAGGTTGACACAGATGAGCCTAAAATTCAGATATATTAAATTCTAGTCTATGTTTTTGCAGTGTGCCACACTGTGAAATATTTGATATTTGTAGATGTCTTACAATTAACAAATCACTTTCACATGTGTTACTGCATTTATTCCTCTCAAGAACCCTGAAGAGTGGTAACACTCAACCAGTGCAACCCAGCCCTAAAACTGACCCCCAAATCAAGAGATGGAGGGTACAATGGGATCTAAGGGCTGTGGGGTGACTTGCCTAAAGGCAGCCACTAGTTCTGCACACAGACTAAAGGGAATTTCCAAAGGGGAATTAGGAAACAGCTTATATAAGAACTTAGGAACTTCTGTTGTGAGCCCAGTCTGCGAGCCAGATAAAAACAAACATTCCTGGCTACTGAGTCAAAAACACCTGAGGCATCTCTGGATGGCCCTGGCTATACTGAGTTCTGGAAACCACATCATCCATAGTTCTGCACCCTTTTAATCTTTGTTAAACTTGCTCCTGCCACCTGTGAAAAAATTAAAACAAAACAAAACTCTCTTCCCTCTCCATTCCAAAGCTCTGGGCTCTTTCTTTTTTTCTGCTGACTAGGTTGGTGATGGGAATGGGATGCATTAGACTTATTAGGCATCATTTGTACTAGGTATACCAATACCTATGAGTAAAGCATCCTCAACATTAACATTTACACAGATGACACTGAGGTTCCTAGTGGTTAGGGTGCTAGTACCAGGTCCAGTATCCTTTCTTCTTTTGACTGTGGCACCCTAGCGAGCCTAACAAAGGCCTTAGTACATTTTTTTTCTAAAGTTGCCTCCTTCAAATTTATCCCAGGTGCAGAATAAGGGATATGGGCTTAATGGGAGGCTACATTAAGCCCTTCCAGAGAATAATTCTGGAAGCAGTCTGGGATTGATGTGTCCCTGCTTTAGGACCCTGCTTTTGTATACTACCCTTTCTGATGGAAAAAAAAAGGCAGATTCCACTTCTCAGTTTCAGACATAGACACTCATACTCACAAATACTTAGTCACAAGTTTTTCCTTAGATTTGTTCTTTTCCAAGTTAGTACTTCATTTAGAAATATAACAACATTATTATATTTTATTTGTGTTAAGTGAAATCCTGTAACCAACTAATACTTTTATGTGCATTATTACCCACAATAAGTGGCATGAGAACTTCAGTGTTTATTGTCATTTATCCTATTCTCCTTTAAAAAGAAGATGCTTTTTTAAAAATTTGCATTATATTGGAACATAAGAAATTTGTCAATGTAGTTGCTAGTTAACAGATTCTATAGACTTAAACATAAACAAAAAGACTAAAATTGTTTGTGGGTCAAGCCACAATACACTTTTATCTCCTTGATGAGCTAGAAACCAGACTCTCTCTATATTATTTATTTAGATGACATTTAGTGTCAGAAACCATAGAATAATATGTTGAAACTCAGTGTACAAAATTGTATTAGTCCCTGAGATATACTGACTGCAGAGCAGTATTTAAGATATGCTATAAAAATTCTTCCTAAACAACTTTAAATAAAAATGAATCCATAACCTTATTTAAGACTTTATGTAAAGTACAATTATAGTAATATGAATTTTTTTTAGTTGTTCCAATTCTAATATTCCTATGTGAAAGTTAATTCTTCATTAGTCATAGGCTCTCATCTATAAGCTATTCAATGGGCTGTTTCCATGTAAAGTCATTAAATAATTTACTTTTGATCACACAATAGTCTTCTGAGTTTCAATTACATTACAGCTGCATTATCATGTCATTAATATTACAATTTCTTAAAGCATTGACCACTGACAGTCACTACTAAGTCATATGCTGTTCACCTATTTCTGGGTAAAAGTTATTGAAAGAATGTACAACATCCTGATGATAACAAGCATTAAGTCAAAATAAATAATTTTAAAATTCTAATTCCAGAAGTCCTAAGAATGGTGTTCTAAATTTTTCATGTTGAGATCAAATTTTCCTTTAAAAGTGAAGGAAGCTCCAACTGTATCTACTATGTGAATTTTGAAAAGTGGGAAAAAAAATCAAACTTAGCAGGATCCCTTCATTACTGAGAAAATGGAGGTAGAAGAGAATAATAACTCCTTAAACACATCAAACACAGTTTAATGGCTGTCACTGGGGAAACCAACATACTGTACTATTTTGCCATTATTTCTCTGATTCCTTCATGAAAAAAATCTACTTAGTAGAGCAAAAACTACACCTATATCCAAAATATCAACCATGTATTTAAAAGTAACCATTCTTAGTATGATTACTTATTTGCTTATAATGGCCTCTTAATTGCATTAGTGTTTGCATAATCAGCAACTGAAGATGGAGCCAGTCAGAAATGTTACAGATGACTACAGTACCTGTTTCTGGACTTCGATTCTGTTCTCAAACAGGAGCAGTTTGCTGTTTTCAACTGTCCTGGAACTAGATGAGAAAAGAAAGATAAAAACGACACAATGAAAGGAGCTCTTCCATACCTGTTCCACTCTTTCAAAGCAAAAGGCTGTTCCTTCCCATCATTCCCAGGCAGGGGTAAGCAGGTTAATGGAGTCAGGTTACTTTTCATTTGTCACTCTATCACCAACTGGTTATCCCTCTGGAAAACATAACAAAGAGAGAATAAAACATGCATGACTGTGCAGTTGCTATTACAAGGCACCCAGTGATACCAGAATAAGCGCCACATCCACTTTTCATCCTTCGTCAGTTGGTGCTTGGCTCAACCAACATTGCTGTGGAGCTTCTCCCAGTGTTTCCAGCAGGATTTTCTATGAAGAAAACATGATAGTTTTTTAGCTTGCAGAGTGTGTTCTTTTTGATTGTCTTTTTGATTCGAGGCCAATAATATTTAGTTGATTGGAAACTGCTGGAAAGACCATGCAGCATTAATAAAGGGGAAAATTTAATTGCTCGCCACTCCTTACATCTACACATTTTCCCTAATATGGGCTAAGAGGCACTGAGTCACGAGTTAACCTCTTGTTAAAACAATGCCAAAGTTGTTTTATAAAAAGTCAGGAAAGGGACTACTTTGTAAGATATCAAGTTCTTATTGATTGAAAAAACCTTAAATGAGTGCTAATTTAGCGCCTGAATGTTGCTCTTTAAGTTGAAGGTGGCATTTGTGTGTCACTTACACACAGGTAGCAAAGCCCAAGACTATTTTTTTGTGTGAACATTTTAGAATATTTTCACCTCTAGAGGGCGTTGGTTTTTTAGTTGCCTAGGAATAAACAGCTGTTTTTCATAGATCCTGATTTCTGGCTGAAATTTGGGAAGCAGCTAATCATAATGAAGAAAATTATATAGGAAGAGGAAAGGAAGAGGAGGAGGGAGAGGAAGAGGCACAGGGAAAGGAAGAAAGAGAGGGAAAAAATAACATCAGGCTATAGTGGTTCAGACTCAAAAGCTGAGGCAGGAGGATTTCAAGTTTTAGGTCAGTCTGGGCAATTTAGTGAAATTCTGTCTCCAAAATAAAGGGGGATATAGCTCAATGGTATATAGCTCAATGGCACAGGACTTATGTATCATATGCCAGACCCTGGGTTCCATCCCTTGTGCTACCAAAACAAAGTAACAAACAAAAACTAAAGAGAATTAAATCCTCCAGTTCTAGTAGTCCTTCAGTTTAAGGTCAGTGTTCTTTAACACCATGAAAAGAACTTTTGTATTAATAAGCTGAGACTATAGTAGTGGCTTTAAAAAAGTACAGGTTGTGTTTTAAAGTCAGTTTAATAAGAAATAATTTTAGAAGCACCGCCATGCCAATGGGAAAGAGCCCCAGCCAGCAGAAAAATTATGGCTTCCTGTGAACCAGCCAATGCATGGGCTGAAAAATCAGTAGAATCCCCCACCCCTGAACTGATTTGAAGGACTCAGTGTGACATGATAGCAATTGAGGGAAACAGAGTAGCTCTATGCATATATTGTTTGATCGAGTCTGCGGGCCTGGGTTTGGAAATAAGGGCATCTACCTGGAGGATGCAGAGTGCATTGTGTCAACCGGGGGATTACCTCCTGTCTTGTTTTTGAAATCGAATGTTTTGTTCTATTTTACTGTTTTGGTTTTACTTCTGTGTCTGGTAACCTGAGCAACTATTTTCGTGATAACAATGTGCAGTACTATTCTCATTGTTTTGTTTTGTTCTGATTTATTGTTTTATTTTATTCAATGTTATGTTTTGACTGGTTTTATTCTATTTTGTTTTGTTTGATTTCGCTATGTCTGACAGTATGGACAACTATTGTGAAGATAGCAAGATATATTATGATATCTATTGTTGATTTCCTATTGTCCTGTTTTGAAATTCTGTACCACTTTCACTGCTGTGTTTTGATTGACTTAATTGTTTTGTTGGGTTTTGTTCTCTTTAAAATAAAAAAATTTAAAAAGAAATAATTTTAGTAAAATCCATTATTTTTTGTGCAATTACTCTCATCACTAATTTTTTAGTGTATTGTATAAGCCATTAGCTTTTTAAAAATTAAGTGCTGTGTAAGGAAGCTATCACTGCAGCTCACCACAGCTGCCTTTCCTCTGCTCTGATGGGAGCAGCCTTGTGGTGGAACATGGGAGAAGAAGGTAAGAACAGAGATTTGCTTAGAAGAAGAATAAGGACCTAAGCTGATTTCTGGACCAGCTATTTGGAAGTCCTCTGGACTTCCAGGAATATGGCAAAGTGGTGAAGAAAGGTCCTCTATGGGATTTGGTGTTGAGACACTGGAATATAGCAATGTGAGGAAAAGGAGAGGGAAGTTGGTCCCTGGGACCCAGCAAGGATCTAAAGCAAGAATTGAAGCCTATAGGGAGAGCGAACACAGACTTTAATGAAAACAAAGGAGGTGGCAAGTGGCATTTTCTCTTGGAGCCCTGAATCATTGCATGGGAGGAGTGGCTTGAACCTACAGAGGCACAATGGCTACTGGTGACCCTGGAGGCATCTGTGGAGCAATGCAGCAGTATATGGAGTAGCGGACATCAAAGACTACGGTGACTGATGAGTTACTCAGGTTCAGACATCCAGGAGAGGATGGTTTGCTGGTAGCCATCTTGGAGAGGGGCCAGCTGAGCTCAGAACTCAAAGCAGCTTCAGGGTGACTCCATCCAGCAGCTCTCAGTGTCAAGGTAAGCTGGAACCAAATTCAAGATAGCAGGAAATCAAGGAGCTGAGTTCAAGCTGAAATAAGGCACAGAGAGCACAGTGGGCTGAACAAGTCAGTTTTCAGCATCACAGCCATAAACCAGCCTGAAATTCAGTGGTAAGGGCAGAAGTAACCAAGCAGATGAATGAAACTCTAAAGAAAATTAAATCAGAAATAATTTTTCAGGTAACTACAGAGATGGTGACCACAATGAAAGACATTGTGACTGTAGAACAGATACAGATTTTTAAAAAGTTGAGAAGTTTAGGAAAATTATGGAAATCATGAAAACCCAATGGGGGAAAGAAAAAGAATCCATGAGACAGATTCAAATAGATATTCAGGAGATTTAAAATTCCATTGAAAGTATACCCAACAGAATGACCCAAAGTGAGGACAGAATGTCAGATAGAGGAGACAGGATTGTGGCTAATGAATATGAAATGAAAGATTTCTTGAAACAGTAAGAAACTATGAAAAATCAATCCAACAGCTGCTTGATGGTACAAAGGAAAATACCATAGGATTGATCAGAGTCAATGAAAAGAACAGGAGATGGGGCAAATGACGTAAAATACCTGTTCACAGAAATAATGGTAGATTTTCCAAGCAGGGAAAAATAACCTAACAATGAGCCATGATCAAAAAAACTCACAGCAAGGTATATAATAGTCTAGATTCCAGCAATTCAATAGAAGAACAGAATATTAAAAGTTATTAGAAAAAAGAACTTAAAAACTTTTTGTACAGCAAAAGAAACTGCCAATAGAGTAAAGAGAAAAATCCAGTGCAGGAAAAAATTTTTGCTAGATGTTCTTCAGACAAAGGACTAGTATCTAGAATATGTAAAGAACTAAAATCAGATCTGCTCCCCCAAATTTAAAGACCCAGTCTAAAAATGAGATGAAGCACAAACAGCAAAAAAAAAAAAAATACATAATATGTTCAGTATCACCAGTCATTTGAGAGATGCAAATTTAACAACACTAAGACTCCCTTTCATCCCAGAAAGAATAGCTATTATCAAGAAATCAACCAGTAACAAATGTTGGTGGAGCTGTGCAAAAAGAGGAAAACTTCTGCACTTTTGGTGGGAGTGTAGACTGGTGCAACCAGTGTGGAAAACAGTGAGTAGATTCCTCATAAAACTAGGACGAGAGGTTCTAGTTGACCCAGGTATTCACCTCCATGGTATCTTCCTGAAAAAAATAAAAGCATCATACTACAGTGATATATGCACACCCATGTTTGTAAAAGCACAGTTTGTAATAACTAAATACTGAAAACATACCAAATGTCCATCAGCTGGTGAATGGATAAACAAGATGTGTTTTTCATACACTGGAGTACTATTCTGCCATAAAGGACAATCTTGAAACATTTCTAGATAAATGGGTGCCTCTTGAAATTAAATAAATCACACACACTTTTTTTTTGGGTACCAGGGATTGAACTCATGACCTTGAACTTACCAGGCAGGCACTTACACTACTGAGCTAAATCCCCAGTCCCTTGTCAGACACACATACTTAAATACCACATTGTTTCTCTTGTCTGAGAAGCCATAAGTGTAAATAAGGACCAAAATGTATAATAGATTATTGAGAAATGGGAAGAGAATGTTCAAATGAGAAAGGGAACATGGGATGGGGGAGGAGAAAAGGAAAGAAAGAACAAGGAAAAAAAGAAAAAAATAGAGATAAAACTTTTGTAAATAAGTAGGGAAAGTTAAATTGAAAGGAGGGAAGATGAATGGGAAAAAAGGGAAGCAAGATATGTTATGCACAGGGACAAATTCCTTATGATGAATGTTATCATTATCCATATCTAAAATGTACCAATAAAATTTTTTAAAAAGGGGAAAAATAAGTATTGTAAAACTGTTGATTGGAGTGGAACTCCAGCTTTATTTTAAAGAGAAATCACAGTTTCTGATTCACTTATTCCTTCAACCATCAGTTATCTACCGAACCTAGGCACTGGACTGAGCACTGGAAATGAATAAACAAAAGCAAACACAGAGCCTGGGTTTGTAGGTCCTAAAGTCACAGCCTTCCAAAAGAGCGTAATCTAATAGTCACTCATGGAAGCATGAACACAAGACTAGGAGAGACACTGTATGTAAGACTACATAAATCAATGAACAGAGGAAGGTCAGACAAATGTTTCCTGAAAAAAAAACAAGCAGAGATTTGAAGCTTGATGAAACAAGTTTGATGAAGGAGATCCTGGTAGGAACAAATGTTGCCCAGGCAGGTAGAAGAGAATGTTAAATGTACCAAAGTACTTAAATTGGAGAAATAAAAGGGGCATTCTGACATGTGCTTTTATATATAGAATGTTACCTTTTTATTTTTGGCTTCTGATACATTATCAAACAATATAACCAGAGATCAACAGAATCATATTTCATTTAGCCTGGTGAGACTTTCTAGAGAGGTGAATCTTAAAGGA